CGTTTAATTCAATGCAAGGTTTTCTTTCGGGCCCATTACACTAATGCTAGACTGGCAAAAATGTATCTTTCAATAAATGACGCCTGCTGTAGATGCAATGTGTCTCCAGCGAACCATGTACATATGTTCTGGCTATGTCCCAGGTTGGGGCCTTACTGGACATACATTTTTGACACTTTGAGCAGGGCCTACAGCTGTAAGATACCCCCAAATCCACTGTCTGCAATTTTTGGTATTCCCCCTTCCGTAGGTTTGCCAAAATCATTTACTCGAGCTCTAGCTTTTACTACTTTATTAGCCCGCAGGCTGATTCTGCTCAATTGGAAACTTCCCCAGCCCCCTTCACCCTCTCACTGGACTCGAAAGGTGCTGTATAACTTGAAGTTAGAGAAGCTGAGGTTTTCAATAAATGGATCAGTTAAGTCATTTCATGACACCTGGGATTCTTTTTTGCAATATGCTGACTCTGTTGATTTGGAGAATGATTAACAAGTGTTGCTGTCCTGTCTTATTTATTTATTTTGTTATTATTATTATTATTATTATTATTATTACTATTACTATTAGTACGTATTAATCTTATTATTATTATTTATTTATGTATTTATTTTTTCCAATTTTTAATTTCTTTCGTTATATTCCTAAGTTCTTTATATCTGATCGTTGCTAATGATACGTGTATGTGTGTGTCTATGTACTGTATCTATGTCTGGCCTCGTGTTCAGGGAGTTGGGTGGGTTCTTGTCGTGCAACTTGACCTGTTACAATTACAACCTTTGTAATTATGCGTGCTGTTTTGTATGTCGGGATTTATTGGTTTGGAAAATGTTCAATAAATAAAGTTGGGGAAAAAAAAAAAAAAAAAACTGGGATCCACTGAGATCCAAATCCTAGTCATTGTTGGTTGCATGGGGAGTGTTATCACTTTGTATTTTCACATTTTCATTTATATTTGGGCTTTTTGTACTTATAGATACTTTAATTTTTTATAGATGTGTTTAATATTTTGAGAAACTTGCCTGTTGGTTTTTTGCCGCTAAAAAAAAACACACCAAAGTACCCAGAAGTTAACTTCTTTGCACGCAGAATCTCTGGGAGGATGTTGTTCTTGCAGTCGTCATCTATACAGTCTGTGCATGTCGGCGTGTTCTTATCTGCAAACCAAGTAGCAGAGCACTCCATAAGCGGGCAGTCATAATGTCCCTACAGTAGGGATGTGCAGCCCTCTACATACATTTTCAAATTATGTTTAAAAAATGAACGAAATAAAAATACTTTTAAATTTATGCTAGAACATCATCATGCCAGACTGCTACGAGGAGCTTGGGACCCCAAATTGTTGCAGTGATAGCAGATTATCGTGGGCTATAATAAAACATTAGGCTAACATTAACAGAATGACAAAGTGAAAGGTTGACAATAAAGATGTTCAGTGAAAATGGGAATTTATGTATTCGTTAAATGCAGAGTTATGCCACGGTGTTTGGACTGCTCACAGCGTATCTCTGTCATGAAGAAGTACAGTCTTCAGCGTCACTTCGCCCAGCATCAAGATAAATATGTGTAGCACATTAGTGATGTTAGGGCTGCCAGAATTGCTGATCTAAAATATAAGCTACAAAGGCAACATAGTTTGTTCACAAGAGCAGCAAATTCACGAGAATCCAGTGTATGAGCATCATACTGTACATGGCTGCCCTCGAGCTGGAAAAAGCTAAAAAACCACTATGTTGGCAGTGGACCAATATTACACTCACATGCATGCTGGGTACGAGTAATCTTTGTCCCCTGGAGGATGTTGAGCACAGCTCCACCTCCAACCACCACTCACAATTGTCAAAATAAACCAGTTACTGATATTTGTACTGATATATGGATGTTTCAGGAATTATTTTGAGTTGGGCCATAAGGAAGAAATATCTAGGCGGAGTGGCCACAAAAAGCGATCTGTACGCGTGAAATGGGTTTTGCACGTTTATGGATCACGTCCTGTCTATCTGTGGATGGTAT